TAACCACTAAACGTAAGTAAGTAGACATATATATATATATATATATATATATATATATATATATATATAATTTTATTAATGTATTTATTTTCTATTTATTTATTTTCAATAATGTTATTATAATAATTTTTATTCCTATATTTATTATAATTTTTCAGGTATAGCAAAGGAACAAGAGAAAGAAGGGAGAGAGAATGAGTCGCTATTGGCTCATTTTCAGGTTTAAATAAAAATGGAGACGATGGAGGAGTTATGGTAATAATATGGTATAATGGTAAGGCCTAGAGAAAAAAAAGCAAAAACGCGGATTACATGTGGGTATCTTTTCAGGTAAGGTTCAATAACCTGGAAGGGATTTACTTGCATTTTACAGGTAGGGAAAGAGGAGGCCATGCAGCATACCAAAGAGATTCGCCACACGCTGACAGAAGCCAAGAACGGAAGGAGAAGGTCCGGGGAGCGATCGGCATTGTTAATAATGATGTCTAACCATAGACCAAGAATAACTTATTTGACAGTTGATTTTTAATTGTTATTCTTAGTCTATATGGTATAACGTTTAACAATTAACGCAGTTTATCTACCCTAGCGGCTAATGAGCCATATATATAACACACAAACTTCTGTAGTCCACAAGATTGACTACGGGATTTCGCGGGTTCGTCCCGGTGTAATTTATACATATAATATCAGAATATATCTATAACCTATATAACGTCTATATATAGATAAAGACGAATAAGAAGCGATCATTATATCATGTATCATATATGAGTCGATAGCAAATAAAAGTTATTCCATTGCATATGTGTAAGTGGTACATTGCGTTTCACTATCGTGTCCGACTAAGCTATTGCATCGTCCACCTACCTAGCGGTAGGAGCGGGAAATGGTCACAACACAATCAAACATGCGTTAAATTGAGTATGTCACGAATTTTCTATGGTAAAATTTGTAAAATGTTTGTTGCCATTTTTTTACATTAAAAGTAAGTGCTGACGGGACTAAACGTATCGTCAAATTCTTACCTGATAAGATTGTTTCTCGACTAGTTAAAAATCAAAAAAACCTGGACGATTTGATATTATGATCCTGACATTAATTGCTTTCTATGGGCTTATGTATGAGTCACGGGTATATGTTCACATCGAACAATATAGTAAAATAGGAAGTATAATGCAGCAATTTAACCATAAAAAGTTAACAGAATTACAGTATTTTGTAAAAAGGTGAAAATATTTTTTTAATTTTTACTATTTACGGTGACGTAATCACTTTAAGCAGTTAACGCCTGAATCCCAGTAGCTGCCAGCTTTAGGAGCACTACAGTATAGCGACTACTGCATGGTGAGGGCTCCACATGCATAGCTGACGCAAGTATCATTCATGCTGGTGCACCGACGATTCTGTGCGTAGTTGAGAAACCTCAGCGTCGGCTTCAGTTCGTTAGCGGTGTTACGACGCAGCGTATTGACGGCCTGCGTGAAACACGAGGTAAAGCTGCATAATGGCGACAATAGTATTTCTTACATCGCAGCGTGAATAATTATAGAATTAATTAATTAATTAAAAATTAAAAATTGTAATTAAATCTAATAAAAAATATTATTATAAAAATTATTAAATAAAAAATATTTTTTTTTTATATTATAATTAAAAATATAAATTATATATTAAATTATAAATTTAAATTAATTAGCGTATTAGAATAGCCTGAATGGCGCATCACTAAAGAGCCGGCTGCAAGATACTGGCATGTATTGCACAACCTATATCACAGCTACTTCGGTGTAGGGATACATAAACATAAGGCGTCTATGCTAGGCGGTGGTTTAAAGTTTGGTCATGCGTTCGAAAGCATGCGTATGTGTACAGACAGTGATTAATACGTGTCTACGAGTATTCCTACAAAGTTTTAAGGCGATTAGGAATGCTAACAGACATGGGCTACTAACCTGACATTGCGGCACATTTTCAAGGTGAAAAGAGGTTCTAAACTTACGTAGAGTAAAATTCCAATAGCGTTTCTACCACATATTGTTTTTCCACGGAGCTCCGGCTCGTTTGCAAAGCCAACTGGATCGAGATTCTCTATCAAGTCCATTGCCTGTGGATATAGATTACAATTAATGACTGTGTTAAGTTGAGTGTTGTGTTCAGGAGTAATAAATGTAGACTATATTAAACCCTATGTATATTGTAATAATATTATAATTAATTACGACAATTATGTAACGCGGTATATATATATATTTATTTATTTATTTATTTATTACTTTAATAATTAAACTTAGCAGTGGTATATTTACGCAGGTGTTTATTTTGTAGCAATGCAGATCTTTGCTACCAAATTTCTTATAGAATGAGTTCTTACCATTCTGTCAAGATGCTCAATGAACTGGTAGATCTCGCCATAGGCCGGGTCATGGTAAGTATAATTGAATTTCTTCCCTGTAAAACATACAGCTGTAAATGCCTGCGACACGATGTTGTTCACGTGCGGTTACCCTCACAGGCACTTGGAGCGTTTCAATAAAATGTAATGCTAAATAAATACGAAATCTATTTACTACCAAAGTCTTAATGTTTCTCTACTCCGCTTCACGTATTATTGCCGACAAGCCGTGCTGCTAATGCTCCAGCCACAGCAACACACGCCCACCGCACGCACGCTGCTGCACGCTACTGCACACTTACACATACTTACACACTTAACCCCTTACACATAAATATAGAGTGTACAGCAGCGTGCGTGCGGTGGGCATGTGTTGCAGTTGCTGTAGCATTTGCAGCACGGCTTGTCGGCAATAATAGGTGAAGGAGAGTAGAGAAACATTAAGACTTTGGTAGTAAATAGATTTCGTATTTGTTTGGCATTATATTTTATTGAAACGCTCCAAGTGCCTGTGGTCACCCAAACCCCATAAAGCCTAGCGCAGACTTGCGACTTGTTCATGCAACTCGGCTGCGATTCTAGAATCGCAGTCGAAATTAATGTGAACTCGCCATGTCTGCGGGAACGTGCAACTGCAACTCGTAGCGATTCTGGTTGCTTGCAACGAGTTGCAAAAATCAAACTGGTTTGATTTTCAGCAAATCGTCGCTCCCAATCGCTCCGAAATCGCTTCGAAATCGCATGTGTACGGGTAAACAGCGACTTGCATGCGCACACACGGTGAATCGTGCGACCGATCGCATGCGGTTGCAGGTTGCAGCGACAAGCAACCAAAAGTCGCAAGTCTACGCTAGGCGTAAGTGATTTATCAGCAACTTGTTTTAAGGAAATGCCGAAGAACGGGTACTGTCACTGCGCTAGGCGTTAAGTGATTTATCAGCAACTTGTTTTTAGGAAATGCCGAAGAACGAGTACTGTCTTCATTACTGCACTCACCCCAGTGCCAGAAATCTGACGAGATGACGAACAGGTTCTCAGGGTTGGCAAGGTAGGGAGCAAAGATCTCCCCGTACTCTTGCTGACGTGTTAGATTCAAACGTCCGACCAGCACTGGCACAATAGTGAATGACCCCTCGTATCTGCCGGGTACAAGTAAATAATCAATAGCAATGCGTCAGGAACATCACAGTTGCTGCAACGTAAGCAATATATAATTCTAAGTAGCGGAACAGTCGAAAAAATATGAGAACAGTCGCATGGAAAGTATTCCATATACTGACTTTAAACTACAAATTCATGTACTTCAGTACCTCACTCCACCAGGACCAACCTCGTGCAAATAACATGTGACCAACGTCACCAAAACACTCGGCACGGCAAAAACCATTGATTCGAATAATGGCGTACGTTCCGCGTGTCATGATTCTCAACGGGTGCAGTGACATCGGGGTTTCACTAACTAGAACTAGTTCTGAGGCGGGGTGGGGGGCATTGCCCCTAAATAATCTGATGCTCTGTGGTATATGGCCGGCTTCATATATTACCTGTGGTAATCGATCAGGCAAGGCGTAATAAACATGATCATAACCTAGGATGTAGTATGTATATGTATATATTTTGTATGTGTCAAGTTAATAATAAATTCCTAGTTTAACATCGAATCTGCGACGCTGCACCGGCTCTATCTGATATGGTGACTAACTAACAAGACTCTACGCTGCTACGATCCAAAAGAGCCTGAGTTATCAACGTTAAAACCCCAGTACAATATTACCAAAGGTGCCCACATCGAGCGTCGTCTGTCTATCTGTCTGTCTGTCTGTCCGTCCGTCCGTCCGTCCGCCCGTCCGCGCGCGCGCGCGTGCGTGTGTGTTTGTGTGTGTTTGTGTGTGTGTGTGTGTGTGTGTGTGTGTGTGTGTGTGTGTGTGTGTGTGTGTGTGTGTGTGTGTGTGTGTGTGTAGTGTGTGTGTGTGTGTGTGTGTAGTGTGTGTGTGTGTTGTGTGTGTGTGTGTGTGGTTGTTTGTGTGTATATGCTGTGCGTGTGTGTGTGTGTGTGTGTGTGTGTGTGTGTGTGTGTGTGTGTGTATATATATGTGTGTGCGTGAGTGGGGCATGCGTGTGTCTGCGTAGTTCTGCCTTCGATATGAGTATGCTTCTCATACAGGAAACAGTTTTAAATGCGCGGTAAGCGCTAGTCTGACTCTATCCTTTGTTTTCATTCATAGCAGAAGTACCATTCCATTTTTGCTCATTGACTACTGATTTTTATGTCTTCTTAACATAAACATATTTTCTTATACGCATACATATATCATTACGCCATTAAAACTCGCTGCGATGTATTGATGTAGAGCGGACAATGACTGACCAGCTCGTTCAACGACAACGCGATCAGACTATGAAGAGTTAATAATAGGGCTATCCCCGTCATTTTCCCGTTGTACACTCTAGGTATTATTACAACTGTTGACATGACGCATAGCAGCCAGCACAAGCACCGCGGCAGCGTAGCATATGTTTTCTGCAAGTTGTCATGACAACGGCTGCAGCGCTGTTGTCGCGCTTTCTCAACACCACCAATACCACCGCAGCTGTGACTTGAAGCAAAAATTCCATAGAAATAAAATAAATGCCAATCCAAAAATTTAAAAAAAAGCCAAAAAAATTAAAAAATTCCAAAGGCATGCAAAAATTCCAAAGAAATCCAAAAATTCCAAAGGAATGCAAAAAATCCAAAGAAATGCACACATTTTTCGTTTTCAGCCGAAGACGTATGCGAGCTTCCTGGTGAAACACAGTCAGCATGTATATTACTGTAACGTCTAACCACGTTCTAGCATTGGATATCATCTGGCTTCGTCTATAGTGCAACCAACATGCACGCTAATAATTGCACGGTACAACTTGTAGTTGATTCTGGCCGTGAAACACTAAAAAGTAATGATACTTTAATTTATAAAAATAATAAATAAATGATCAACTGTGATTATCAGCACAATACTTTTCCATGACTTTCGCAATGTAAGGCAACTGCATTTCAATGCTGTGCTCCTTTTCGTCTATAGAACGTGAGAACGTCTCAAACGAACCCGTCGCGTTGAGGTGTTCATAAACTGCAAATACGAGACAAACGGCTGTGAGCGACATTGAGGAATTTAAATTTGCAAGAATCATTGCCAATCTTCGCTCCCAGCGTAAAAATGAGTCTTCAATGTGAATGACGCAAGCATCGTGAATGTCTCTATCTAATCATCGCTCTACATATTTTACTCTTACTCCTCCAATATCCCCCAACTTACCAACTTACTAACTAACTTACTAATGATTATACTTAGCTAATGCAGTATACTTACCCTGCTTGTCAATGGTAAGATCATATAGTGGATTTTTGTATGTAGAGCAGGATGACAACCCACAGCCAGACACCCGCCCACGGTGCGACGGAGCGAGGATAAACAAGCGCTTCCTAAAACAACACAAATCTCAATTGTTATTAATCTTATAACTTATTAATTTAAACTATCTATTATATAATAAAATGTGAAATCGCGTTAATTTGATATCCGGGTATATAATTTTTCTTCTAATATAATTTACTAATTGAGAAACAATAAGAGAGAATCGGTGATGATTAAAATGCACTTTTGGGGCACATATATGCATTGAAATACACAAATATACTAACGGGGCACAGTCCACATTGGCGAAAAGCTATAATACTGCAATTCTACACTAGTCATCTGTATTACCTTTATTAAAATATAATATGTAATGGTACGTACACATTGGTTGGGTCAATTTGTCTGTAGGCGAAAGCAGAACATGCCCCACAAGCCCTATAACCTGCGTGCCTGCAACAACAGCCAATGCGCATATTAGCTTCACGTAAGTTTAAATAAGAGTGTATAAGTCTATGCACAATTTCTCTAACAATAGAAATAGATTACGATCAGATTACGTTACTCTATACTCCTCTAGTATTACAATAAAAGACCGGATGTGTGTGGTATTAAATAGAGGACCAACTTCATGTGGGAAGCCAAGATGGTAGATGGCTATATATCTTATGATTTATGAGGACTTGTAATTTCCCAATCATGGCGTACGTCCACAGTGCATATACTTACGGCGCTATGATAGCACGAGCAGGAGAATGTAATACCGGCGCCTGATCCAGCCATGTCTGTAGTTGCTGGTTGAGTATTGGAGCTAAATGATACATAAACCACATGCGTAGTTTTTAGCGTTTTACTATCTCGGAATCCTCCGTTACGTAAAAACTTTGCCTGTCTTCACAGAATAATCGATATAATCGAATATCGAAATATCGATAATAGCTATCATGTGAACGCCTCTAACGTTCTTTCTGTATATTTAAGTGACCTCGGGGGTCTGGGCCTATGCACGTGTTTACGTCTAAAGAGTCGTCACAGCTGTAAATATACATGACATTTCAATAATATAGAGCTACTAAATTACGAACCATGTCTTAAAATAAATGTGAAAATCTTGTAAGCGTTTAATGCTTGTACATACAATAATTACACTACAAAGTTACTTATATACAATCCTACGCTGCATTGATTGAGTATATATATGAACAAACATCACGGACCGGTTTAAACTTTTATTAGCATAGTTTGACAGCATCGTTGCATACACGTGTCCATCCCACCAAACACGATGAATATCTAGAATCGCGTGTTTAGTTATTACTTATTCAAATTATTTTGTAAAAGTTTGTCATTTTTAACAGTTAAACGGAAATCAAACTCAGTCATCTTACCATTGTCTGCGTACCAGGTGCCTGCACGCGTCGTTCTCCTCGCACTCATATCTGTATTAGTGTCAGGCAAGTTTAGCTTGCGTTTTCCTTTTTTACCTACGAAGTAATAATTATCATGACTTAATCTCAGTAGTTGTTTTCTCGATAATACATTTATTATTATTATTATTTATATTACTACTACTACTACTACTACTACTACTACTACTACTACTACTACTACTACTACTACTACTACTACTACTACTACTACTACTACTACTACTACTACTACTACTACTACTACTACTACTACTACTACCACCACCACCACCACCACCACCACCACTATTGTTATTATTATTATTATTATTATTATTATTATTATTATTATTCAAGTAATGAAATATTCTTAAGTAATCTAATAAAATGAGATATGGTGAATATAGCAATCATACCAGAGGTTTGCGCAGCATCACAAATGGAGACATAAATCACACAAGCTACAATGAAGGCTTGCCATATTCTTCGCATGTTGAACGATGAATCAATGATCTATATGTTATAAATATAACCAGCTACAAGTTTACTGTCCTCTTCACGAAAAAGGTCAAAAACAAGAGCAAGTCAACTTGATTCCTCTTCAGCTGATTTCACAGCTCACACTAATGTGTGAACTGCTAGTACGGCTAGTTCGGGATGTTAGTGGACTGCTCGACTGTCTATAGTCAAGCTGTCCCCACTGGGCATCGAACCGCTCGACTACCTGTTTCTGTTCTACGGATCGCTGAACTTTCTATATATATATATATATGTGTGTGTGTGTGCGTCTGTGTGTCTGTGTGTGTGTGTGTGCGTGCGTGCGTGCGTGCGTGCGTGCGTCCGTACGTGCGTGCGTGCGTGCGTGCGTCCGTACGTGCGTGCGTGCGTGCGTGCGTCCGTACGTGCGTGCGTGCGTGCGTGTGCTGTCGCTCCTTATGTATCGCTTGCACTCCCTTTGCCACTTTGCCTATATGTTGACAGGAGCGGTCCTGAAGGCTAATGATGTCAGGTCGTGAACCTATAGCAGAGTCGCTCGCCATGGGCGCTGACAACCCGTGACGTGATGGTGGGTGATTATGCACCGTCCATATTTCCTTCTTTCTGGATCACTAGCATGTAGCCGTTAACGAAAGGAGACGACAGATAGATGGAGAGAGTGCGAGAATGAGAGAACGAGCGAGCGAGCGAACGAGAGAGAAAAAGTGAGACAGAGAGAAAAGGAGAGAGAGAGAGAGAGAGAGAGAGAGAGAGAGAGAGAGAGAGAGAGAGAGAGAGAGAGAGAGAGAGAGAGAGAGAGAGAGAGAGAGAGAGAGAGAGAGAGAGAGAGCGAGAGAAAGAGAGAGAGAGAGAGAGAGAGAGAGCTAGAGCTAGAGCTAGAGACAGAGACAGAGAGAGAGAGAGAGAGAGAGAGAGAGAGAGAGAGAGAGAGAGAAAATATATACATAGCGAAAGAGAAAATAGAGCGGGGGAGAGAAAGAGAAAGCGCGTGTGCGCGCGCGAGAGAGAAAGAGAGAGAGAGAGGGAGAGGGGGGAGTGAGAAGAAGAGGGTGTGGAGGGAGGGAGGGAGGGAGGGAGGGAGGGAGAGAGGGGAGAGATCGAGCCGGGTGCCATGGATGAATGGATGGGTGTAACAGCAGATGTAAACATTAACAACATGAATGGCTCTGTTTATAAACAAACTTGTCGCGTTTAATAAAATGTCCTGCTGTGCGGCTGATCGATTCACGAACATTTCGTGATGTTTTCATACTGCAAAATTTTATATGCTCTCAGTAGGTGTACAATCATATATTTAGGCATTTTGTTGCGTGGATTATCCACTATAAGGAGTCGTACACTAAGGAGTCGTACGAATAGAATAAAATTGGTGCATTTCAAACGCCATTCAATCTAATATTATTATCATTATAATTATATATTATAATTTTATATTATAATATTAATCATTATAATAAAATTATTATTAACGCGCCTACACTTCCGATGGTTCTTCGGTTTCATCGATGTTGTTGACAACTTGACTATATATGGTTGTTGTCAATTAAGGTCCACGAAACCTATCATCGATTTTTGCCTTGTGTCGTACTGCATTTCTTAGTTTACACGATAGGACGTGTTCGTGTGATATCTATGACTTCCCTCGTAGATATAATATCATATCTAATCTATACGTGTACATGATATAGATCTATGTAGGCCTACTACTCCTGCTCCCCCGGCGCAAAGTATCATGGGAAATAAAGTGCTGGTGGTTGTTATATACACGTACACGGATAGTACACTTTACGATTTGGCAAAACAAATTCAACTTGAAATATCTTAGCAGACGAAAGGTAATTTTTTAATTATTAAGCAAAATATTAACTACTGTCTTCGAGTTAGTGTTTGTACCTTATACTCGAGTAACTACTAGTACTGTAGGACTTACTACTAGTAGAGTTAAGCTACAATAAATGGGCATACTTATACTAGTCATAGTCTCATACGATAGACCCCTATTGAAGGCCCGTCTTGACATAATAATTAAGTGTGAATAGTATATATTTCAGTGTGTTAGTCTCACAGCCTGGTTGAACTAATACTAGTGGTGCAGTGGTTGTATGGTGCATTGTACGATCAACGCACTTTTCTTAGGAACTGCAGTATAGATAATAGAGTTGGCACCAAGGATGAAAGAATGCTGTAAAATATGCAACGCTACATATGCCATGGCTATTTACTCCTGAACAAGAATTTATATGTACAACTATAGACATACGTAAAACCATATAAACCTGCTTGTGAACTCGTTGTAGTGTAGTTGTACTTGTAGACCCATTGGTGGATAATCTTATGAAAAGCTAGTGTTTAAATGAGGTCAGAGGACAGCTTCAGTAAATTGCCCCTCCCCCTGTAGTTTGTTTGTTTCCCCTATAATCATGAAGTATTTTTACTTGTGACTTTACTTTCTATTTTTATTGCAGTGACTACTACAGTGAAACATATATGCAACATCTTTGCATATCAAGTGGTCACTGCACTAGCTCTCTAGAGAGGATGAACAACAATGTTAATAATACAAATAAAAATAATAATGGTATTACCATCAGCATGGAACTAAGTGCAAAAGGAAATGGAAAAAATCACGTTGAAGATCTTGTGAAATGTCAAAAAGAGTTATTACAGGGTAAGAATTGAATGTCTATAGGCTTAGAGAATTTGTAGTCTTTAAACTGGCAATGATGGCAACTCTATATGTTGTAAACAGCTATCCGTAAACTCAGTTTCAGAATAAATATAACCATGTCATGAGATTGTATGAATTTTTCTTCGGCTATACTTTAATGCAAAAGCTGCTCAGAAATGCGTAGCAGAACAGCAGTTGTTAAATAATATTAATTGTATTACATTACAAATACTTCAGAGAAATCTAGACTCACTAAGAAGCTCAGTGATCTAAAGCAAAAGAAAAATGAATTGGATCATCAGCTAATGGAAATAGAGAATAAACACATGCAAGTTATGGAAACAAGAAACAAAGGACTCGGTATTTGTCCATATAGATCATATGTACTCTACGATTCATATAATTCATTTATAATACTAACCTGTAATTTTATACTTGTGCAGGGTATTGCAATTTGAAAAATCAAAAATTGCTGTTGCAATATATCACAATTTTAATTACATGCAAGCGTCTAAGTGTCAATGATTGAAATGGAATACATTGTAGATTCAAAATTTATAAGAGATTGTATATATGCACTTGTTAAAGCATTCAAAATAACACGTGACCACAAACGTAGTATATATATGTTAAACTAATATACAACCAGTAAATGATCGATCCATCCTGTAATTGCCATTTAATTTCAATTGCAGATACACTTAAAATAGCACAGCATAAAGTGGAACAGAGCCAAAGCCAGTGTAACAGGTATGGGATATTTGTGTTATATTGGAGACAAAGTTAAACATAATAGTGCTACCTTGAAAAATACTAATTTTTGTATTGTTCTTCAGCCTTGAAACTATTCATAAAGACAGACGAACCATAATCGACCAACTCTCAAGTGAAACTAGACAACAGAAAGCGTTGAAGCAGCAGAATGTGTATGTGACTATTAAAAACCTTTCCATATCAGCTATGCAAGCAATTGTATTGAGATATCAGCATACTGTTAATGGATAAAAAAAAACACTACCCTATATATAACTAATATCAAAAATTATTAAGAAAATATTTTCTCATATATTTTTGCTATTATTTAAGCCTCTATTCGTGCACTAACATAATGAAATTATCATAATATGAAAGGTTTATACAAACATGAATCTTATTGCATGACAGGTTTTGATTTTTAATATAATATATCTTTGCTTCAGGATGCAATTTCTTAATATCCTAGCAGAAATGGCAGATAGACTTCGATATGAAAAAGATGCACATGTATGTATGATTGTTATTGATAAACATATATATATATATATATATATATATATATATATATAAGTATGATTGTAAACTTTTTGTTGGAGATTTTATTACTTACCTGTTTTTCAATTGTATTTCAGAAGCGCGAATCACTGAATCAAAAGTGTTGTGAAGTTGAGAAGCTGAAAATTGAATTAGAGAAGGAAGGTATAATGCACACGTGACTGCAATCATAACAGTTAGTTCATTACGAATGATGAACGCATAGGCTGCTATATTGGTCAACTACATCTACTCCATAATAACATCCAATAACATCCAATACAAACAATAAATGTTTTTTTGGGAATTAATTGCTACCACGTTAGCGTTTGATTTTTTTATGTGATTAACTTATTATGCCGTTAGTGTGAAACCTGTCTTGATGACGTCGGTTGAAACGTCTGTTACACTTCTAGTGCGTCAGCAAGATCAAGAGAAGATGGACTTGGAAACAATGTTGTTGACATTGCAAAAGGAAACCAGGGATGACTTAGAAATTCCACTAGAGCAACAGCTCTCTGTCTTGTGAGTAGATACAAGTGTCAGTGTCATTGATGCACTGCTGTGATATACAACTGGAGTACATTTATATAATGTAGCATAATGCAGAATAATATGCTGGGTTGTTGGTTTAATTAAAATGTTGAGTTAAGCGTTATGTATTGCCAATTGTTTCATTATGTGTTGCAGTAACATGTTTAAAGACGAAAATTCAGCAGCAAACGCTAATTTGGTATTGATAGAACAATCCGAAGCCAATCAAGCCATATCACTGCAGGTTAGATCATTGCATAATTAATTCAATTGTACTGTGGGTGGCATGGCAATCAATGACCAATAATGTCTACCGGCTTTGCCCTCTCTCTCTCTCTCTCTCTCTCTCTCTCTCTCTCTCTCTCTCTCTCTCTCTTAGAAAGCTATATATTATGCAGTTTTCTTCAGTCATCT